ATCGATCATTGTGAATTGTTATGAAATATTCTTTCGTTCCTCGCATTTGTTGTAGACGAATCATTCAAAATTATTCTCAAGTGGCATTCAAAGTACCAATTTAAAAGTGCCAATTCAACTTTAAATGAATTTTCTTCTTTTTTTTTTTAATTTTTCTGTCCACATCTGTTCATTCGCAGGTACGAATAAAACACTCTTGTAGCAAGTGGCAGTGAAAGTGTCGCAAACGCGCAGAAAGAACCTATCAGTTGTGTCCAATTGTGTTTAAGTTTCATTCTCCTGTCGGTTCGTAGCGTCCGCGTCGCTCTTCTTGCTTTCGGTTTCGTTTTCAATTCTCGTAAACGAACCACATCGATGTAACCATCGCCGACAATTTGGGTCACAGCTTTATTGGAAGCACTGGGCTGATCGTTAACGAAACGAATTGAATCCGAGCCGTCTCTCGTTTCATCGTCGTTCCTTCTTTTCCCCCGGCGCTTGACAGACGCATCGCGCTGACGTAACCGTTCCGAATATTCGAATTGGTTCGGTGAACCGGGCTAGGAGTAGCATGGGCGATTCGCTTCGTTTCGTTTCGTTTCGTTTCGTGCAATGTTGGTCGGAATTTGGCTCGGGCAGATCGAAACTCGGCTCCAGGACTCGTTCCCTGTTCCCTGTTACCTGTTACCTGCTTGCCGCGACGAAATCGTCCCCTCTCTCACTATTCCCGTTGTTTCATTCTCATTTCGCAATAAATGTTTCGAGATAATTGTCAAAGTACCCCCGCTCGAGTCCTGCGAAATTGTCAATTTCACCACGATGCAGAGAGCTTTTCAATTCGCCAGTGCTCGAGGATTTCTCCAACGTGTCTACTTTCCAATGCCCTGCAAAGACATTCTCAGAAAACAGGCAATCGCCAGCTGAATAAATAAAGCAAGCTCAGGCAACAAATAATGAATCACGCACGTGGATTATACAAATTATTGGCGGGGAAGAAATCGAACGCACCGGGAGGAGACTCGTTCCTTGGTGGACCTTGCCCAGTCGTCAGTTTCGACCTTTGATCTATTTCCAGACGATAAACCGGCACGGGCAGGACGTATTTCCGGCGGCGTTAGTCAGCCAGTTTAAATACACTTGCATTAACTACCAGCTTTCCGTCTCTGTCCCTCTTCTATCACCTGAGAACGTTTCCGTAGCGTTCGTTCTTTCTTTCTCCTTCGTCGGCAGCCAAGTTGTATTTCTGACTGTTCCTCTCGCCGACAGATCGAGGTTAATTGGCTACCGTCAGGACGAAAATTAGCGCGAATTAATCCCCGGACGACGGAGCTCCGTCAGCTTTGAATTACGGCCCGCGAGTTTCGGCCTATCAGTTAATTAATCGTCGCCCCGGCGGTTATCGTCTCAGTCCGCTTCCGAATTGACGCGGAAACTTGGGCCAAAAAGCTCGACAGTCGCCGGTTAATATTATTCCAAACGTTCGCGATACTCGCACGTTTCAGTTCAATTCGTGCCACCTGATTTACAGCCGAGGTATTTAACTTTGGAATACCTTTCGGCGAATCCATTTAGCGCTACGTCGAGATGAATTAACGCGGCTGTCTCTATCTAGCGAGCAGCATCATCTACCACTGTTGTTCGTGTGATCGTTGCACGACCCGTGTGTATTGGAAATTTGTATAATAATCGATCCAGAAACTAGGCTCACGACACGATGAACGTCACGTTTCAAACGCGACGTATCACCGTCGAATGGAAAATTAACTTCCACATGCGTGAGAATTAAATTAATTCTCCGACGAGTAAGAAGATGAGAAGTTCTACGAGACTCTCTGGCATAAATCAAAGCGGTCGACATCTGCTCGAGTTCTTTTCTCTCCGACAACTTCTTCTACCTCACCAACGACGATCTTTTTTTTTTTAGCCTCGCGAGTGACCTCGCAAATAACCCGATCCAACGCAACAGCAATTACGCTAAATTGATGTGGCCGCGTTGTACTCTACTGTGAATCTAGCTTAATCGAGCTTGCTTCGTTCCACGCGAACTCCCTCGTGCGATCGTTAATCATCAGCATTCTAGGAATTCTTGAAATTCCTTCTTCCCTTGAGCACGGACAGCGAGAAGAGTAACGTAATGGAAAGCTAGCTGAACGATTCAACTCACCGTCGTCGCTGATTTCGAGATTCGTGTAGCTGTCCCAGTGGAGGATGGGATCGTGGTGAGCGGAAGCATGCGGCACCGCTGGTGTCGGCGCTGGTACCGGCCCGTCCTGACGCTTCGCGTCGGTGGCGAAGTACAGAGTGACCACGCTGTCCGGAGGGCATCGTGGATCGTCGCAGGCAACGTCCAGCTCCGATCGAGGGAACGACACAACGTTCTCCGTTATCACGCACGTGTGAAACTACGGGAACAAGGATACAAAGTTGTTGAAATATTTTAAAGTTGTAAAGTTCTAAGGTTATAGAATCGTATGTTTTCTAAAATCCTGAAGCTCCAAGGTTTGAAAATTTGAAAGTCTAAAAGTCTGTGAGCCTAAGATTCTGAAATCTTAATATCCAGAGATTCGAAAGTTCTATTATAAAATCTTAAAATATTAAGACCCTAAGATTCTAAATTTCTAAAATTCCAAGATCCTGAAATTCTTTCTGAAGTCGCAATGTTCGATAATTCAAAAGTCCAAAAGTCCTAGGATTGTAAAAATTCTATAATTTGAAAATCTCAAGATCCGGAAATTCTAAAAAAAGTCCAAAACTAAAATCCTAAGACTCTAAGATTGTAAAATTTTAAAGTTTGGAAATTCGAAAGCTCTATAATAAAATCCTAAGATCCCAAGATCCTAAAATTCTAAAGCCCTAGAGTCTGATAATTCAAAAGTCCAAAATTGCTAAAGTCCTAAGACTCTAAGATTGTAAAATCTTAAATTTCGGAAATTCGAAAGCTCTATAATAAAATCCTAAGATCCTAAGATCCCAAGATTCTAAAATTCTAAAGTCCTAGAGTCGATAATTCAAAAGTCCAAAACTGCTAAAATCCTAAGACTCTAAGATTGTAAAATTTTAAAATTCGGAAATTCGAAAGCTCTATAATAAGATCCTAAGATCCCAAGATCCTAAAATTCTAAAGCCCTAGAGTGCGGTAATTTAAAAGTCCGAAAGTCTCAAAGTCGTAAAGATCGTAAAATCCCAAGATTCTAAGATTCTAAAATCTTGAGATCCGGAAAATTCGGAAGTCCTAAAATCCTCTAACGAGATCCTAAGATTCTCGGATCCTAGAATCCTAAAGTTCGGTCTAAAGGTCTGAACTCCTAAAATCTTAAAGTCCTTAAAGCCCCGAGATCGTAAAACCCTAAGAATCCAAGATTCTGAAACCTTAAAGCCCGAATGCCCTAAACTCCTGTGTGAATGAAAGATCCTAAGATCTTAAGATCGTAAACCAACTTTGAAAATCCTAGCTCTTCGTAAATCAATTCTCTCAGCTCTTTCGGCTACTCTCACTGGATAAACGGAATAATTACTCGCCGCTCGAGAAGCGAACGAATCAACGTGATTGGAATTGGACAAGTTTCTGAGAACCGATCCGAGAACCGCGATGCGGTTAGTTGATAAAAGCACAGGGACTCTTGGTGGTATCATTTGCGAGAGGAAATGAGAATGGAAATGGGGTTTATGTGCATTAATCAAACATAATTCGCGGGCTAGGGTTTCACGTCGGCTTCGAATCGGTGCCAGACTCGGTTTAATTGAGAAAGTTGTCGCTGGTTCTTGTCTTACCTGCAGCGAGAACATTACTTCTCGGCTCTGCTTCGAGTACACCCTGTGGTAACACTTCACCAGGATGTCGCCCCGAAGACGGAGACCGCCAAGGTTCACGGTGAACTCGCGAGCGTTCGTCACTGAATAGAGATCCGACGTGTAAACAGGAGTGAGGCCTTCGTAGACCTTGAGGAACGCTCGACAACCTGTAGGCTCGAACAGCGGAACACCGAGAACCGTGAGATGCGTTAAATACAGGGGTGATTGACTGATCCTCAAGGAGCCTGAGAGAAGTCCGCTGAAATACTTGATGTACCTGCGGCAAACAAATTCTCATGTAGTGTTTTTGACTTTTTCGTCGCTGTCGGTGAGAGACTATAGTTACTCGTTAATAAAGATTCCAGCAGGATAGATCGTTAGAAAAGATTGTCAGAAAATGAAGAAAAAGAAAGAAATAGAATTACGTGTTAGATTGATCAGGTCTATTATTAAACGGGGATTGAGCACTCGTTTAAAATTGAAACGTGACATTCGTCGCTAAAAATTCTAATGGAATGGTAATTAGATTGTCATTGTTAGAAAATGAGAAAAAAAAAAAAA